AGCAGAGGGGAAAGACTGCAGCCTTGTCTTAACCCTTTTGTCATTGGGAACTCCTCAGTAGGAGAACCATTTACTAGAACCGAAATTGAGGCAGAAGATAGACAATATTCAATCCAAGAAACCCATTTCTCCCCAAACCCCATAGCTTTCATTACTTTAAGAAGAATCGGCCATTCAACCGTATCATAGGCTCTTCGAAAATCAATTTTGAAGACTACCCCCTTCCTACCTTGCTTCCTCCAATAATCTATACCTTCATTAGCTAAGAATGCACAGTCAAGGAGTTGCCTACCCGGAATAAATGCGAATTGATAAGGACTAACCAAATCTGTTATACAAGAAACCAATCTTTTGGATAGAACTTTAGAAATGATTTTGTATAAACTGCCAACAAGGCTAATTGGCCTGTAATCTTCTAAGCTTTCTGGATTCAGTTTCTTACGGATTAAGGAAATGAATGCATGATTAACCCCATGGTCCCATTTTCTTCCACTGTAGAAATCAAAGACAAACTTCATAATCTGCTCCTTTAACATAGGCCAATAATTCTTGAAAAATCCCATAGTAAAACCATCTGGTCCAGGGGCTTTATCAGGTATTCCTTTTCACGCTTGGAATTGGGATACTTTCAAAAACATAGCTACTAAGTGGGGCAAGTTAATAGCAATCGATAACAGTTGTGAGTTCCCTTCGTCTTTTGATCGGGCTAAAATCCAAATACTCACAAACGCTCAAGTGAGAATTAATGAGTTGTTGGAGTTGAAGGTCGGGGATCATTTATTCAAAATCTTGGTGCATGAAGTTGATCCTTCCTTCAAACCTAATTCTTGGGTTCCTGAAGATTGCGATATTTCTTTAGAACTTGATCCTCCAATTGGGTTGTGATTGTTCGGCTGCTGTATTCAGAGGCGTTTTTAAGTTTGTGGTTGTAATTGTTGGTTTTTTGTTATGTTATCTTACATCTTGAGGTGATTTAGGGGCTTTTTGGTTGACGATGTAAGATTTCTAGGTGATATGGGTTGTATTGGTGTTTATTCCCGCATGTGGGTTTGGTGTTACCTCATGTACTTAGTATTATATTTAATAAAATATGAGGCACTCTTTTCTCCCTTCCTTGTTCTTCAACATACTTCTAAGTATGTGGAAGAATACGAAGGGAGTTTTTAATGAGACCTCCAACTTCTATCAAAAAAATTGCTTCCCAAACTTCCTGTTCTGTAAAAAACTCCTCAAGACGATCCCTTTGCACAACAGATATATTTGCAAAAATAAGTTCAAATTCTCCCACTTCCAGCGTATTAATCGTGTTATAAGCTTTTTTGAAATAATCCAAGACATGAGCCTTAATCTGAACTGCGTCTGTCAATTCTACACCATCCACCTTCAAAACATTAATGGCATTAAATCTGTTTCTGTTCAAGGCACTTAAATGAAAATACCTCGTATTCTTGTCTCCCTCTTTGATCCACCTCACTCTAGATTTCTGGCACCAAATGCTCTCCTCTATTCTGTGCAGTCTCCATAATTCACTTCGGAGCAACACTAACTGGTCTCTATCTTGAGGAGAAAAGGCCGCACCTTGTGATTTCAATTCCAACTCATTTATTTTGGAATCAATTTCTGAAATAGTCTCTGAGATCCCCATATATTTATTGCTGGACCAGCTCCTTATTTTCATTTTAGTACCTTTTAATAAATTAAAAATTCCCCTACCTCCCTTCTTCTGCAAATCAGCTAAGGAGTTTTCAACCAAATCATCAAAACCTTCTTCCTTTAATAGATAGTTGAAAAATCTGAAAGGTTTGGGACCCCAGTTCTGCCCATCTTCTTCCAGCACTATAGGGTTATGATCAGAGAGTGATTTGGGTAGAATTCGTTGTACCAATTTAGGGAACCCCTGTAAAAAATTGCTACTAACCAGAAACCTATCCAGTCTTACCCACGTAGGCAACTCTCTATTGTTGCACCAAGTGTACATACCTCCTGATAAAGGGAGATCAATGAGGTTTGTTTGTTGAACAAAGGATCTGAGTAGATCTAGAGCATGCCAATTCTGTGCAACTCCATATTTCTCAGATGGATTAAGATAGGCATTCAAATCACCCCCTATGCATATTGGTAGATTTAAATTTGTAACAAAATTCGACAGCTCCCTAAAGAACTCATCCTTTTCTTCCTCCACTGACGGGCCATACACATTAATTAATACACACTCAAACTTATACAACTTGAACATTCCTGAGATTGCCACAAATCTACTGTTCTTTTCTTCCCTTCTAACTTGAAAAAAAGTTTCATTCCATAAACACATCAGGCCTCCTGCTGACCCATCAGCCGAATAAAAACTTTTTCCTTGAAGCATCTTACCCCCCTAATCTCCTTCTTAACCCATTAAAACATTGATTCAATTTTGTCTCCTGTAGAAATAAGACAATCGGTTTATCCCTATTTACAAGACGGGCTACTACTCTGACTTTTTCCTTTCTCCCTAAACCCCTTATGTTCCATGAAATAATTTTAAGATTTGACATTGGAATATTAAAACTTAAAACTCCTGAAAAGGAAGACTAAATTACTCCCTTTCTTTCCTAGACCCCTTCCTTTCCATCTTCAAAATTTCCTCTTCTAGCAAATGTTGTCCCCCTTTGAAATTAATCCCCAACATGTTGCAAACTTCTCTAGTAGCAATAGCTTCATTCAAAGCTCTAACAGAAGAGTGTGAAGACTTTGAGGATGAGCTGTCTTTTTCCAAAGAATCTCTGACCATACTTCTATACTCCCTTCTATAAACTCTATCAAAAAAACTGATTGACACTTCCCTCTCCGAGCACACACTACCTGAACGTCGAGGAGCAATTTTTAGTCTCATATGATTATTTAAGCTTTTTGTTCGATGAAGACATTGAACAAGAATTTTGGAAGAGGACAAAATCTCCTTTCTTTTGAACTGACCTTCCATAATTAACTCTGAACTGATTCCATCTTGATTCACTACATTTCTCTGCCTTACACACGATCTGGAAGAGCTATCCTCAGTCAGGCCAATCTGTTTATCATCATTTATCCTTTTATTCTTCTTTGAACCAGCCCTCTGTTGGACAGAGAGTTTGTCTCTCTCAAAATCATTAAAATTCAGTGTATTAGTTGCTTCATTCTCCTGTCGACTTCTCAAGCCAACATACTGCTCTTTATCCATATCAACATCCTGTTCAGTGTTTAACATTTCTTTCTCTCCTCCTATCTTTTCTTTCTCCAACGTAACTGCACCCTCCTCTGCAACTTCTCTATGATTAACTGAAATGGTATTGGGCTGGCACATAAATCTACCAGTACCATTCTTCTCCCCAACCCACTTAAGAATAAATGCAGGCCCAGTAGGGATAATTTTCCTTACTGGTGAAAAATCAACCCCAATTTCATCTGATTGGGCTTTATCCTCTGATTCAAAAGTTTCCCTTAATCCCAGCCCCACGTGATTCCTGTTCTGGTTACTCATATTTTCCATAAAAACTGACAGCCCACAATTAGCAATTTCTTCAGTTGACTTACTCGATGAGACTTGTCCCCTACTGACTCCATTCACTCCACTATTCTGTTTATTGTTCAGCCAAGATAACACTTTATGCCTGGCTTCCTCTGATAACTCCTGATTAGTAGCCGCTGCCAAAGTAGGTCGCTGTCTATCTCCCTGCACAGACATGACATAATCACTGTGCAAAATTTTTGAAAATTTCTCCTTCGTCTTCCCCACCAATTCTTCTGGTTTTTTCAAAACAGAACCCAGGGATAACTTCACTTTGAACGATCTTCCATAAGAACCAATAGTGACCGTATCAGGGACATCGAATGGACTTTCCACTCTTAGCAGTACTTTTGCCACTGATAAATCCAATATGCTCTTTGAATCTTCATTAAAACAAATGAATCTTCCCCATTTCCCGGTAAGTTTTTCCATGAATGCCTCATTCCAGCACAATAGAGGCACTCCGAACATCTCTACTTGGCAAAGGGCCAATGGAACTCCATCATCATTCAGAACTGGAGCCAACCAATCGAAACATAAGCATAATTCTTCTTTCTTATTCTTCCATACGTATGTAAGCTCCTCTATCGTATTGAATGTAATGATGCAAGCATTCCATGCATAACCCCATTTCGATATCTCAACTCCCATTCCCTCGATCTTCAAAGCTTCCTTTATCGAATCTTGTTCATAGGAATGTTTCATTATCCCTATTAATGATCGCTTAACCCACTCCGAATGGTTCCCCGGAATGTGCATCTCCCATACGTTCCTAACACCATTTGCATTCTGTTTTGCACCCTTCAGTTTTTCCCCTGAAACTTGTTCTCTTCTCGCATTAAGGCCATTATTCACAACATCCTTATAAGATCTTTCATCCCTCAAACTTCTTACCGATACAAATTTCTTCTCGGTTTGTGTTTTTTCCTGTTTACCTGACTTGTTTCCCATCAACCTCTTCCCTTCAGCAGCTTCCTTCCTCATAGTCTTTTGATATTTAGCAATCCCTACTGAAATCCTTCTCCCATCAATCCACTTACCATGAGTATACTGAATTGCCTTCTTTCTACTTTCTTCATCAGTAAATTGGACAAATGCAAAGGTTGAAGACTTATAATTTGGTTTCTCTAGGCACTCTTTTCCTCCTTCCACTACTTGTCTCCTTAATAGAGACAACTATGAGGGAGGTTTTTAATGAGGCCTTCTATTCCTATCAAAAAAAAATTTGGTTTCTCTAAAAAACGTGGGATAAAAATTCTCATAATCTGACCATAAGGACTAAAAAGATCCCTTAATCCACCTCTCGTAACTCTCTTACTAAGATTATCAATGAACATAGTCCATTCCTCATCAGAGACATTGGACTTTTTCGAAAACTCTCTAAAACTCTCTCTACCTCTCGCATTCATTCTCTCTCGTGAATGATGTTTAATTCCGGTTGAAATTCTAAGTTGGCTATTATTTCTAATTGTAACAGTTCTTCAATCATTGGATCAAGATGCCAGAAAGGATCTAACACCACTGAAGTTGAGAGCGAAGGCTGCCAAATTTGCCAAAGCAACTGTCAAAGCTCAAATGTCATCGTTTCAGGTGTTAATGAGTTTAGCTTTTTTATTTGTTTCATGCTATTGCTATGCATGATTTGCTGTTTTTTTCTTGAAAATCTAACTTTTTTTCATGGGTAATATCGACACTGATGATATATTTATTTGTTTTTCCTTTTGTCACGGTTAATAATAGATGACTAAAATTTGCAATTGAGTACTTCGAATTTTAAATTCTTGCAGCGCTTTGGAGTTTGGGCAGACTGGGATAATCCTTATCTAACACTAGATCCAAAATATGAAGCTGCCCAGGTATCTAGACAGTCTTTATTCGATTTACTTTATCTTTGCTTAATTAGAGTACAAATCGTGAACATTCAGATTTTCCTTATGCTGTCTTAAAATTTAGTCAAAACTTGGGAGGAGGATATGAAGTTCTTTGCATATTTTGCTAAGAGTAGAGGAAGAAAGAAAGAGAAATGGGTCTAGGGACAAAGGGGTTTCTTTTGAATTTTAAAGGAATATAATTCTAAAATCTTACCTTCCTAAGTTCCTATGATTGCTTTCCAACATTAGTGTTAATTGTTGTCTTCTTGGAGACGTTTATATTATGTCCCACTCCCTCTTATACTGGTCTAGCCTGAGAAAACCTATAATTCAAATCCTGATTCTAGCACATGTGCTGAGAAAATGCTCTTTGGTACCCTTTTTTTATAAAATTTCTAATGCAAGTGGTGTATTATTTCTAAGTAGCTATCTGTTTTTTCTTGTATCTATATAATGCTAGATTGAAGTGTTTGGCGAGATGGCACTTAGAGGATATATATATAGGGGTAGGAAACCTGTTCATTGGAGTCCATCATCACGTACAGCACTCGCAGAGGCCGAATTGGAGGTAAAAATCCATTTTCGAAGCGTCTCTTGTTGTCGTATACCTTTTTGCACTTAGCATTCTTCTAGGATTGCTATGTTACTAATTTAATGTTTTTCCCCCTAATGGAGTATCCTGAGGGCCACGTTTCAAGAAGCATATATGTTCTCTTTAGAATGGTGAGTGCACCGGCAAGTAAAGATAGCTTACTGAAAGAATTCTTTCCAGATTTATGCTTTGCAATATGGACTACAACTCCTTGGACTGTTCCAGCCAATGCTGGTAAGTCTTCTTTTCTTTTGCCCTGCATTTAACCTAACTTCCCATATTTATACTGACGTGAAACTGATGTTCTTTTCAATTTGTATATCTAAATTGCAAATTATGAGTCACAAATATGATGAGATTAATATATTGGCCATCTTAATGAAGGTATGCTTTTCATTTATTTCTCAATTTTATGGTTGGAACCAATGAATGTTATTCTAATCTGATTTGGGTTCTCTTTCCTTTGATTTATCTTGCATGCAGTGTATATGGTTATTGCTTTAACTCTTGACAGGGCATTTTGTGACTATTTTTATTTAAATCCAACTATTGTCAAACAATCATGTCATTTAGTTTTAGTTCGATGTCTATGTTTAAGTCGATGGTACTATAGGAAAACTATCATTGAATTTGAAGATGCATTAGCAGCTTCCTATAACCCTTGCTACTTTGATTGTTTGAATGTTGAGGCACTCAGCTTAGTCTGTTCAATTTATGCTATCTAAGTTGATCACAAGTAGTTTGTTTATTAATCTGGAAAAATATTGTCTTGTTTCTTCTACTTCCTGTCAGCTGTTGCGGTGAATGCTAAGCTTCAATATGCTGTTGTTGGAGCAAAACCATTCTTTGAAGATGCCCACCTATCTGCTGGAAATAAGAAGAAAAGAGTTGGAAATGTTCTGAAGGAACCAAATATGCCTTTCTTTATAGTGGCATATGATCTTGTGCCAACACTAGAAGCAAAATGGGGAATTAAGCTTATCATCAAGAAAACGCTATTGGGTTCAGATCTTGAAAATTTCAGGTTGAGTTAAAACTAAAGCATGTATTTACTTCTAATGAACTAACTCAAGGCATCATTTAACAATGCATGTTTGGGGTTATTAGTCAAATTTTCTGAACATAGATCTTGTGGTTTCAGGTATGTTCATCCAGTTACCAATATCGAATGCCCTGTTGTCATTGGAGGAGATTACATTACTACAGAATCAGGAACTGGATTGGTGCATACAGCACCTGGTCATGGTCAGGAGGATTATGTGACTGGTATGAAATATGGACTGCCTATAAATTCTCCTGTAGATGATGATGGAAAGTTCACCGATGAAGCCGGGCAGTTTAATGGGCTTGATGTTCTTGGAGATGGTAATGTTGCAGTTGTCAAATACTTGGATGAAAAAATGTCCCTTATAATGGAAGAATCATATGGTATGTTCTTCATTTAAAGGCGATCTTTTTACTACTTCCGTTACTGTTATTTTTTCTTCGATAATTTTATGGTCTGTTACTGTTGCCTGCTATTCTTTTGCTGACATATCGTTAAACCTAAAGGGTAGCCATGCCAATAATCAACATCCATATTCTATTATGCAGAACATAAGTATCCATATGATTGGCGTACAAAGAAGCCTACGATATTTAGGGCAACTGAACAATGGTTTGCATCTGTGGAAGGCTTTCATCAGGCTGTTATGGATGCAATTGGTCATGTAAAATGGATTCCTGCTCAGGTATTTGTTTTAATTGGCATTGCAAGTAATTATTGAGTAGATAGGAGATTCCCGCCAGTAATGCACCTTTCAATGAGTATGAGTTTGTAGTAGATTGGATAAATTTGTCTACTCCTGTCCCTACCTGTTTCATCAATCTAGTCAAGGAAATAGTCCTAAAGATTAGGGAGATAATCCTTAGGCTGATTCCTATATGTATTAACTGGGAGGCTGACAAATTAGCTAAAGAAGGGACTGGGTGAATTATAGGGCACTTCTGGGTGTTCAAATTGTATTAGAGGGCTGTAGTTTTGGTATTGTACAAGGAACGATGTATTTCTTTGGGGTGAGTTGAGGGCGAAATCTACGATTTGGAAGTTTGTTCCGGGAGCCATCTTTTGGTCTGTATGGAAATTTAGGAACGCAAGGGTTTTCGAAGGAACTCCTATTGACAAAGTGTCACTATTCTTCATTATTAGATTCAGGATTGCTAAATGGTTCCTAGCCAAATTTCCGGGTATTACTATACAAGAGGATGTGCTGATTGGTAATCCATCTCTAGCAGATGGTGTTTCTTCTAGTAATGTTATTGATCGTGTTGTTTTGCGCTGGTTACCCCCACCAGTAGACTTCCTAAAGATGAATGTAGATGGAGCCGTTAGGCAGATTGATTCGGGTGGAGGTATTGGAGGTTTATTAAGAGATTGGAATGGTTGCACTCTTTTGACTTTCTCAGAGAGTATTGGTCAAGCAATCCCCCCTCTGGCTGAATTAAAAGCTATAAAAAGAGGCTTGGATATTTTTCTGTCTTCTAGGTGGGCTTCGGTTGCTAGGTTGATCGTCGAAAGTGATTGCTCGTCTGCAGTGGAATGGATTCATTCTCCGGTTCTGGCACCTATTTTTTTCTTGCCTATTGTTTTTCAGATTTCAAGGCTTATTAGTGATAAGGTTCATTCATTTAGGTTGATTCCTAGGGAGTGTAATGGAGAGGCAGATATCTTAGCAAAGGAAGGGATTGGGTGATTGTAAGGGTCTTTTTATGATTTTCTTCACTTTGTGTGTAGGTTTTTATGATGGGAGGAGTGTTTCAGTCTTATGTCAAGCAATTTAGTGTTATTTTTAACTATTATGTAACTTTCAATATTTATAAAAGTTCCAAGGCACTCTTTCCCTCCTTCCTATGATTAATGACCTTTCTATAAGGTCCTTAGTTAAGAAGGGGGATTTTAACGAGGCCTTTCTTTCCTATCAAAAAAAATAAATTAGAGGTACTATTTTCCTCCTTCCGCTATTTGTTCCTTTCCCTTGTGGTATGGGACAAATATGAAGGGGGGTTTTAATGAGACCTCCTACTTCTAGCAAAAAAAAAAAGAAAAAGAAAAGGTATATATAAAACGAGTCCTCACACCCGTGTCCTGCTGTCAGATCTTTTTGTGATGTATCCCTTGTCTCGAGCTTAACTCAATTGACAAGTTGGACATCTAGGATTCTAGACATGTACCTGAGTCCGACACCCGTGCTCGAGTATGAGCAACATACGTTTCAGGTTGGATGATGCTTAACACTATGTAAAGTGATAAAATATATTTAAGTTCATTGCTAATTTGCTTTCCACATCTTAGATATTGATTTTCTTTCCTCTCATTTTTTCTACTCTATCAAGCAATGAATGAAAGAGAATTACTTTTCTTTTCCATCTTTCCTACCACGCATACTGATAGAAAGAAAAAAAAAATATTTTTTACCTTTCTCCTTTTGTCTCTTTCAATTTTTTCATCTTTCGAATTTTCTTTCCACCTTACCAAGGGAAGCCTTGATTTTATCTTTTGACAAATGGTACCATTTATGTTAACAGTTGCATTTTATGTAATCATATGTTTTGATAATGACATTTTAGGCTCAAAATAGAATTTCTGCCATGATTTCCGGCCGTTCTGATTGGTGCATATCAAGGCAAAGAACATGGGGTCTTCCCATTCCTGTCTTCTATCACGTGACTTCAAAGGAACCTCTTATGAACAAAGAGACTATTGATCATATCAAATGTAAGGTGTCCTCTAAGTCTTCTGCCTTCATTTAGGTTTTTCTCATTTTATATCTTTGAAGGAGGATTCATTACTTCTTTTTTTGAGTTTCTATTAAAGTTTGGGTTATTTTCCACTTGAGGGCCTTCAGTTAGATTTTCTCACTTGATAATCTTTCAAGGATTCATTAGTGATATTTTTGGATTTATATTCAAATTTGGGTTATTTTCCACTTTTATGGGGGTCCCTAATTATTGCCCTTGTATGATACTTTTAAACTTCTGTGTAGCTATTAAGGTTTCAAGCCATGATATTCTGGTCATTTTTTGTGGCAGCCATTATAGCTGAAAAAGGCAGTGATGCATGGTGGTACATGACAGTGGAGGACCTGCTACCTGTGAAATATCGTGATACAGCATCAGAGTATGAGAAGGGGACGGACACTATGGATGTTTGGTTTGACTCAGGTTTGTTTTAGGGGTTGAGCTTTAGTGCTTTGCAGCCTAGGAGAAATAAGTTAGAATGTAGAAGTTTCTTGTTCTTGCTTGAGCATTATCACAAGATTGACATCATCATTTCCACGGTCATAAAATTGTTAAGGTTGTCTTGAGAATTGTCCAGATAACTGTGCATCAAGTTGATTGTTTCTGAAACTAGAAGTGTCTCCCCACTTTTTCCTCCCTTCCTTTAATTTTATCTGTTCTTTTGGGTTGTGCATGCTGTTTTAACTAAGGCTATTCCTGAAGGTCAGCTCAATGAGGAAAAACGTTTTGGCTGTGCTGAATACTAGATTTATGATATGAAGTAGATTGTATTTCATTGACTTCATAGAATCTATTGTTTGGTGTGGCTGTAGATAACAGACAGACACCATTAAATCTTATGCAATTGTTTTTCCTTCTTTCTTTTGCCGTTCTTAACTTTGAATTCCGTTACTATGGTTTAGAAATGGTTAATGTGATATATTGCTTATTTAGTTTTATGATGCTTGTTAACTGCACTTATATGACAGGCTCCTCCTGGGCTGCTGTCTTGGGAGAAAGAGATGGCCTTAATTTTCCTGCGGATTTGTATCTTGAGGGTACAGATCAGCACCGTGGGTGGTTCCAAAGTTCCTTGTTAACAAGTATTGCCACAAAAGGTATCAATGTTGAAAACTAAATGTTGACCCCGTAATCAAAAGGTTTTAAAAATGCATAATTCTTTTGTTTTACATGATGTAATTTTTTACTTTCTTTGTGCGTCTTTTTTTCAACTTTGATCCTTTCATAGAAAAGAATTATTCTTAGCCATAAGGTCAAATGAGAAGTGCACACATAAGTGAACACTTGTGACTTTTGCTAGGAGAGATGTAGATTGTAGAACTGCAGATGGCTTATTTCCCTAAGACTATATTTACCTATATTAGCATTGGTCTCCTCATGGATACTTCTCGCCTAGTCTTTTTCCGTTTTGAATAGTAAATGGCAATTTTATTTCTTTCTTTCATATTGGCTATAAACATATTCTTGTAATTTTTCTTTCTTTCTTTATTGACATTTTTTAGCTAAGAACCAAAACAGAACCATCAAATAGAATAAAATTTAATTAGTAAGCATGAGTTTTGTTATTATCTCCTTATTAGTAAGCATGAATTTTGTCACAATTAGCGATTACCATGGGTCAGAGTGTCTGATAGAGAACAAGAAGATACAAATTGGGGGGAAAACTGAGGGAAAAAGTAAAGTATAGCAAAGAGTGAAAGATTCATTCTGATGCTTCAAATCTGAAAATCTCAATGATGCAAATAGACCAATTATTAATTAACTCATTATTACTGTAGAATTATTTGGAGTTTAGTTTGAATGCATATCTGTCTGCATGTTAGAGGGCCGAAATTAAGGAAATCTAGAGTCAAACAAATCAATATTCAGTTCCATATATTAAGGGATTCTGGTAGCTTGTTACCATATCCTTATATATTTATTTCCTGTTTATTTCTTTCTGTTTTAGATAAGATTTGATCCTATTCTAGGTAAGTTGTATATATCCCTAGAAATTAGGTGTTTCAGCATGTATATATTTAGGGGATGTGTAACCTGTTTGATTATTGAAAAAGAAATAAAAAAAGGTATTCCTCTAATTTCTACATGGTGTCAGAGCATTCTCTGAACCCTAAATCCCTTATATAACCAAATACGGGTAGCCATGGCCTCCAGTAACAGTAGTGGAGATAGCAATCCCATGCCCATTACAGGACACAAACTGAATGGGAACAACTATCTCCAATGGTCCCACTCTGTTATGATGTTCATATGCGGAAGAGGAAAGGATGATTATCTCAAAGGAGCGGCTGCCAAGCCAAGCCAGGATGATGAGAAGTTCAAAATCTGGAATTCCGAGAATAATATGGTCATGTCATGGCTCATCAATTCCATGACAAATGAAATCGGAGAGAACTTTCTACTCTACAGAACAACAAGGGAAATCTGGGAGGCTGCAAAGGAAACGTATTCCAACAATGAGAATACATCTGAGTTGTTTGAAGTGGAGAGTGTTCTCCATGACTTCCGTCAAGGAGATTTAACAGTAACCCAGTACTTTAATACACTCAACCGCTATTGGCAACAGCTGGACTTGTTCGAGGAGCACAATTGGAGCTGCCTAGATGATGGAATCAGGTATAGACAGATCATTGAACGGAAGAGAATATATAAGTTTCTGATTGGATTAAATAAAAATCTAGATGAAGTAAGGGGAAGAATCTTGGGATCCAAACCTCTACTTAATATCCGGGAGGCTTTTTCTGAAGTCCGGAGAGAGGAGAGTCGAAAGAAAATCATGATGGGCTCTCAAGAACCAATGACAAGTCTTGAGAGCTCAGCCCTTGCTGTTAGAGGGAACTCCTACAACAACAATGACACCAAACCAAAGAAAGGACGCCCTTGGTGTGATCACTGCCGCCGACCTGGTCACACCAGGGACACTTGCTGGAAAAATTCATGGTAAGCCAGCAGATTGGAAGTCTTCTCGGTCTGCCAACGACAAAGAAGGGCGAGGCAATTTTGCCTCAATGGATGACAAACCTTCACCTGAACCCACTCCATTCAGCAAGGAACAATTAGAGGTTCTACAGAATCTGTTCAACCAGTCTTTGCATGCCCAAACCTCCACTGTGGTTGGTACTGGGTCCTTAGCCCAAAAAGGTATTTTTTTAAGCGCTCTCAGTGTTAAAAAAGAGACGTCAAATCCATGGATTATAGATTCTGGAGCTTCAGACCATATGACTGGAAATGAGGACCTATTTTCTACTTACAGTCCATGTGATAAACACTTAACGGTCAGAATAGCCGATGGTTCACTCTCAAAAGTGGTTGGTACAGGTTCTATTAAAGTATCAGGGAATATTACACTTGAATCAGTCCTTCTTGTGCCAAATTTGAATTGCAATTTACTGTCCATTAGTAAACTTACTCGAGACCTGAATTGTGTGACTAAATTTGGTTCAACCATGTGTGAATTTTAGGTCTTGGACTCGGGGAAGACGATTGGCAGTGCTAAAATGTGCTCGGGACTCCATCTTCTCGAGGTTACAAATCCTCCTCAAGGCACAACTTATCAGTCCGATTGTCTAGTGTCTGGTAATCCTACTTCTTTTTCTGTCAGTTGTTCTAATAATGATAGTGCAATCATGTTATGGCACTATAGATTAGGCCATCCGAATTTCTTGTATCTTGAGAAGCTGTTTCCTTCTCTATTTCATAATAAAAATCCAAATGAGTTCAAGTGTGAAATTTGTCAATTCTCTAAACATGTCCGTAATTCTTATCCCAACCAATCTTACAAAGAATCCCATCCTTTTTCAATGATTCACAGTGATGTTTGGGGGCCATCTAAACTAAAAAATGTGACTGGTTCCCGTTGGTTCATTACATTTATTGATGATCACACTCGGCTTACATGGGTCTTTCTCATGAAAGAAAAATCAGAGGCAGGTCAGATTTTCAAAAACTTCAACACCATGATACAAACTCAATTCCAAGCCAAAATCCAAATTCTGAAAACTGACAATGCCAAAGAATACTTCAAATTCATACTCAATGATTATCTCTTGAGTCATGGCATCATTCATCAAAGCTCATGTGTCAACACCCCTCAGCAAAATGGAATTGCTGAAAGGAAAAATCGGCACCTTCTAGATGTTGCAAGATCTCTTATGTTTTCTACTCATGTACCGAAACATTTCTGGGGTGAAGCTATTCTCACTGCAGCATACCTCATAAACCGGATGCCATCTAGGATTCTCAACTTTCAAAGTCCTTGTCAAACCTTACTTCAGTTTTTCTCAAATACACGTCTCATCAACACTATTCCCTTCAAGGTTTTCGGGTGTTCAGCCTTTGTTCATGTCCATCAACATAAAAGGGATAAATTTGATCCTAGAGCACTTAAGTGTATCTTCCTTGGGTACTCTCCAACTCAAAAGGGGTATAAGTGCTACTCATCGGTCACTAAACAGTACTACCACTCCATGGATGTTACATTTTTTGAGCACCAGCCCTACTACCCCAAATCTGATATTCAGGGGGAGACCAATTTTACCCAGGAATATCAAATTTGGGATATTGATGAATCAGTTCAGCTCTCTCCAAATTCTAACTCTATTTCTCCTCAACAACATCTCTCCCTAGAATCTTCATACCAAAATCTGGACATTAGTAAATCAACAACTAATAAAGAGTTGATTACCTATTCACGGAGGAGAAAGAACCAAAAGGAGATGGAACCTTCAGCACCTCTGCAGCAAAACCAAGAATCTGATCCTAGTCCAAGATCTTGTGAAGATCCAGCACCTCTGCAGCAAAACCAAGAATCTGATCCTGGTCCAAGATCTTGTGAAGATCCTTTAGGTAATCCTAATCCTGAGCCCTCACAGAGTAAACTAACTGGTGATGACAGTGACTATCCTATTGCCGTGAGGAAAGGGGTTAGAACTTGCACAAAACATCCTATATACACCTTTATATCATATGAAGGCCTGTCACCAAAATTCAAGTCATTTGTTGCCAACCTCGACAGCACTCAGGTCCCAAATAACATACAAGAAGCTCTTGGATCTCCTGAGTGGAAAGCTGCTGTGCTTGAAGAAATAAATGCACTGGAAAAGAATGGCACTTGGGAAATATCAAAATTACCATCGGGAAAAAGGCCAGTAGGATGCAAATGGATATTCTCAATCAAGTACAATGAAGATGGAAGTGTTAATCGTTTCAAGGAACGGCTAGTGGCAAAGGGATTCACTCAATCATATGGAATCGACTATGAAGAAACATTTGCCCCAGTAGCCAAGTTAAACACAGTTCGGGTTCTCCTATCACTAGCTGCAAATCTTGATTGGCCCCTTCACCAACTAGATGTCAAGAATGCTTTTCTAAATGGGGACTTAGCTGAGGAAGTTTACATGGAAATCCCTCCAGGATTTGAGACACCGAAAACTGACAACAAAGTTTGCAAACTTAAAAGATCATTATACGGGCTCAAGCAATCACCAAGAGCTTGGTTTGAGAAATTTACCAAGGTAATAAAGAATCATGGCTATTCTCAATGTCAATCAGATCACACCTTGTTTGTCAAACACTCATTTGCAGGAAAACTGGCTATCCTCATTGTATATGTGGATGACATTATCCTAACAGGAGATTATGAGGAAGAAATCAACACTACCAAAGGTCTTCTAGCTAAGGAATTTGAAATCAAGGACCTTGGACAGCTCAAATACTTCCTAGGCATGGAAATTGCAAGGTCAAGAAAAGGAATCTGTGTTTCCCAAAGAAAATACGTACTGGATCTTTTAAAAGAAACTGGGATGCTTGGATGTAAGCCAGCGGACACACCTATGGATTCAACAACAAAATTAGGCACTAAAGAAAATTGTGCACCGGTGGATAAAGGCAGATACCAAAGGCTAGTAGGTAAACTTATCTACCTTTCTCACACACGACCAGACATTGGTTTTTCAGTCAGCATGGTAAGTCAGTTTATGAACAATCCAAATGAAGAACATATGGAGGCGGTGTATAGAATTCTAAGGTATCTGAAGCTAACACCAGGGAAAGGATTATTTTTTGAGAAGAATCAAAGAAGAGACATAGAGGTGTTCAGTGATGCAGATTGGGCAGGATCAATACAAGACCGAAGATCAACTTCAGGGTATTGTACTTATGTGTGGGGAAATCTAGTCACATGGAGAAGTAAGAAGCAATCAGTGGTGTCAAGGAGCAGTGCAGAAGCTGAATTTCGGGCAATGGCCCATGGTATTTGTGAGGGAATATGGCTAAGAAGGGTACTAGAGGAATTAAGAATTTCTAGTGGAGAACCTATGAAGATGTTCTGTGATAACCAATCAGCAATCAACATTGCCAAGAATCCAGTCCATCATGACAGAACTAAGCATGTGGAGATTGATCGGCACTTCATAAAGGAGAAGATAGAGGAAGGGATGATCAAAATGCTATATGTACCCACGTCTTCAAACAGCCGACATTCTTACTAAGGCTCTACCAAGAAAGACTTTTGATGATCTAAGTTCCAAGCTGGGGTTAATTAACATTTACCATCCAGCTTGAGGGGGAGTGTAGAATTATTTGGAGTTTAGTTTGAATGCATATCTGTCTGCATGTTAGAGGGCCGAAATTAAGGAAATCTAGAGTCAAACAGATCAATATTCAGTTCCATATATTAAGGGATTCTGGTAGCTTGTTACCATATCCTTATATATTTATTTCCTGTTTATTTCTTTATGTTTTAGATAAGATTTGATCCTATTCTAGGTAAGTTGTATATATCCCTAGAAATTAGGTGTTTCAGCATGTATATATTTAGGGGATGTGTAACCTGTTTGATTATTGAAAAAGAAATAAAAAAAAGGTATTCCTCTAATTTCTACAATTACCAAGTGTTGTTAGATGGTAAGGAAGAATTTATAGGTTATAGAGTACACCAGAAACCAAAATATAAACTCAAATTGCAAAATAAACCTTGATGGCTTATCATCTCTAAATAAGCAAAACACTAACATTTAATTACCTAAATAGTATGTGTTATTCTCAATATATAAAAATAGTTAGTAAGCCCAGTCATATAACAATGTAGTTAACGAAATTTAAACAGTTCATAAAGTTGCTTCGTATTCTGCATCAAGGACCGGAAGTGCATCTGGTCTCTATAATAAATAATCCATATGAAATTTGCACTGCGCTAGTGGTTGCAATCACAGCTCTGACTTTGTATTATACTAACTTGTTGAATAAAATTTATTACAGCAATCTAGTAGTTTCTCGCTTGTCTCTTGTTGCAATGTTTTTCATTCAGTTTGTCTATCAAATCTAAGCTAATTCTAAGTATGTTTTGTTCCTTCTAATGTATCACAATTTCATGAAGATGTTCATTACATTTCGATCTGTAAAACCCTAAATGTTTATTCTTTCTAATCTACCATCCAGGAAAGGCTCCATATTCCAGTGTTATCACACATGGATTTGTATTGGATGAGAAAGGCTTAAAGATGAGCAAATCTTTGGGGAATGTTGTAGATCCTCGTACTATTATTGAGGGAGGAAAGAACCAGAAGGTTAGTTTTTGGCAATATACACCACACCCTTGAATTCTTTCTTCTTTCCTGTTTCTTTCAGCTTCGGATGATAATTATCTCATGGTGGTAGGAAGTACCTGGGTACGGAGCTGATATCATGAGACTCTGGGTTTCTAGTGTAGATTATAGCGGTGATGTGCTAATTGGCCCCCAGATCCTCCGCCAAATGTCTGATGTTTATCGGAAGCTGAGAGGAACATTGAGATATCTCTTGGGGAATCTGCATGACTGGAAAGTATGTTCTAGTTCCTTTTAAAATCCATCCTTTCAAAATCTTCCTGGCATAATTTATTATCCTGTTTTCCTTCCCTTACAGTATGCTTGGATGAGCATTTTTGAAAATGTGAAGAACTTTGAACTGAAGACATTTCAAAATTCATTATGACATCTAAAATTGCATTGTATTGTTTAGATAAATATTCTCCTTACATTACAGAAATTTCAAGTATTGGAATATGATGAGATAAAAAAATATATATAATAGAAAAGTAATGATGGTATAGTTATAGAAGGAACAATATGCAATATGGGTATAGAATTTGTAAAGTAACAATACTAATAATATGTAAACACTAAAAAATGATATTTTAAAACGGGTTTTTGTTGCTAAGAGTTAAATAAAATAAAAGCTGTATAAAATTGAAACCTAACAGTTATTCATTTTTTTTAAGAAAACAAGGAATTAACAAATTTAAACTCAGGATGTGGAATTTGAAACGAGTATTTCAGTCTGCCAATTTCCTTATTCGAATTCTAAGTTAAAAATATATAATTTTTTGAAATTTGAATCTCTCAACGAATGAAATCCCTCATCAAAAGTCAGCATTATATTAAATTGCTCTATAAGCCTTTTGATTCTTCACTACCAGACCTCGACCCCATACACAAAAATAATAACTAAAATTATAAAACATACGCAGAAGGAAGAGATTGAGAAGCTTATATTGCATTTGTCGGTTTAGTTCACACAATTTGTTATTTACAGTTTGGCCTACTTGCATGGCAGGTTGAAAATGCTGTCTCTTACCCTGACCTGCCCATGATTGATCAGCATGCACTACTTCAGCTTGAAAATGTTGTAAAGAATATAAGGGAGGGTTACGAAAATTATCAGTTTTTCAAAATATTCCAGGTAAATAAAATAATATACCTTTTTAAATTGTTTATTTTTTTTATAAGAAGAGGAGGCCTCGTTAAAACCCCCCTTCATGATTAATGGAGCACCAAAAGGTGCTCCTTTTTAAATTTTTTATTGAATTCATGATGTCCTGTATGCTTAGCTTCAAGCTCATTAGCATTTTGATTGTTTTTTTATTCTCAAAAAACACAACAATCAGTGTAAAGTTGTTGCCTGTTGGTCACAGAAAATGCTTTCTATGCACTTTCCTCTCTTCCCACTTGATTAGTTTTTCTTCTTAATAATAATGGCCACCATAGCACAGAGATCCTAGTATTTGACAATGTATCGATACTGTGAGTAAAAATTCAAATTCAGATTACAGTTCCAACCGTCAGTTTTTTGCGGTGTAACAGTTGACTCATTTGCTATGCTGTAGAACTTGTATTTTGCTAAATGCACACCATTGCTTTATTTCTAATGCTATATAATTCTTCTTTTTTCCTTTTGCAGATCATACAACGGTTTGTCATAGTTGACTTATCAAATTTCTACTTTGATATTGCCAAAGATCGACTTTATGTTGGGTAATTCTTTCCCTAATGTGTCATATCCAGATAGCAATTCCACTTTACTTTTTCTTCATTATACTTTTTTGGCAGACCCCCTTTTTTTTTATTGAATTGATGATTTTAGTGTGCTTATCTTAAAGATATCCACTTGTTCAATTTGATGCACCTGCTACGATTTTCATTTGTCTAGATTGTCACACATTCTCATGGTATAATATTGACTTACATTATTTGCCTCTTTCCTCATGTAGGGACAAGTTTTTTCTTCCCTTGCAGTTCACTTCGATTTTCTTTTTTTTTATAAGAATAGGAGGTCTCATTAAAAACCTCATTCTTAGTTGGCTCTTGTGGAAGAGGCAACATCGGAAGGAGGAAAAGAGTACCTCATCTTATTAATAAACCAAAATTACATAATCTTACATCTTACATCATAACTTCCAAAATAAAATACAAACCAAACCAATCATAAAGCTATAATCATCAACCAATTCCCTCCTTAGCAAACTTATCTGCCTCCGAATTGCAACTCCTAGGAATCCATCTAACAATAATACCCCTAGCAGAAACTAAGGTCCCAATTTCCCCAACCAAAGTACTGAGAAACGTAGGGGCAGAAACTGGTGACAGAATCCAATCAACTGCTGATTTACAATCAGACTCTATGATTAATCTTCCTTTCGAAGCCCATTCAGACGAAAGGAATAGATCAATTCCTTGTTTAATAGCCTTCAGCTCAGCTAACATAGGAGGACCAGGACCCACCGCTATAGAAAACGAGTTTAAAATATTGCAATTCGAATCTTTTAAGACCACCAATTCCACCCTGCAACCCATCACCTCTCACTGCTCCATCAACATTGAATTTAAAGAAATCTGTAGGAGGTGGAGACCAGTAGATAGCCTTCTTCGATTTATAGGAAATAGAGTGAAATGTATCTGCCAACGTTGGATCTCCTACTAGTATGTCAACCTGAATATTAGCATTAGGGAATTTCGCTAAAAACCATTTAGCTAATCTAACCCTGGAAATGAAGAACAAAGAAGAAGTATCTAGTTTCCAGTTCTCAAACACCATTGAGCTCCTAGCTTTCCATAAAGACCATAAAACGACTCCTGGAATAAACTTCCAAATAGTAGACTGCTCCCTTAGATAAGACCAGGAACAAAGAAGGGAAGAAGGTTCTTGAGGCATAACTGAAGAGATATCCCATAGTCTTAGAAATCTATACCATAATTCCTCTGCAACCGAGCACGAAATAAACAGATGATGGATTGTTTCCTCATATTTATGACATAAAGGACACAGAACATCTTCTATCGAAATCCCTCTTTTCTTCAATTCCACTCTAACTGCCAATTTTTGATGAGTAATCTGCCAAAGAAATGTTTCTACTCTAGGAGGAGCCATTCCAGACCACACCCATTTCTTCCACTGAAAAGGAGTTCCCATTCTACTTGAAATAGTGAGTCTACCCGATTTTGCCGAATACACGCCTTCGCCTTTCCCCGACCAAGCTAGAAAATCCTCCATAGATTCATTCAAGACAATATTATGAATCAAACTCATTAACGCACACCACTGCTCAAACTCCCAATCACAAAGATTTATCCTTAGTGTAATATTCCAAACCCATCCATTATTTTCAAAGGCACCAAATTCAGCCACTTTACCATTTTTATTAGTAGAAAGGGCAAAAATCCTAGGAAATTGTATCTTTAGAGAAGATCCATTGACCCAAATATCATTCCAAAACTCAATTGACCTACCATTCCCCACTTGTAACTTCAAGTTGGACCTCAAACACTCTCCAATCAAGTCCTTTTTCTCATAGTTACTCAGAATCCCTCTCCATAGCCAAGAATCTTGAGGATAAACAGCTTTGCCTATTGACAAAGATAACGTACTGATATTATGCAAACAACAAATTAATTTTTTCCATTGAGAGTCTTTTTCATTTGCATACTTCCAAACCCATTTCCCAAGCAAAACTCTATTAGCCAAACTCAAATCCAAAACTCCTAAGCCACCTTCTTCAAATGGTTGACATATCGTATTCCAATTCACCCAATGAACCTTTTCTTGTCTGAAACTTCACCCCAAAGAAATTTGGCCATTGTTGAATTTAGTTTCTGATTTACCTTCCCCGGAATCTTAAAAATAGAGAGGTAAAAAATAGGTAAGGATGACAACACCGATTTTACCAACACCAATCTTCCAGCCATCGAAAGTGAAGCTGCTTTCCAGCCTGCTAATCTCGAGTAAACTTTCTGTAAAATGGGCTCCCATAACAACTCAGAATTTTTATTCGCCCCAATAGGTAAACCTAGATAAATCATAGGAAAAGATCCAATCCCGCAACCAGCTTCCAGTGCAAAATCTTGTAGACTGTCTTCTGTCATATTAATCCCAAACAATTTACTCTTGGACAAGTTAAGATGAAGCCCTGTAATTAAACTGAACACCCTCAAAACTCTCTTAATATTAAGAATTTGGGTGGAGGAGTCTCTGCAGAATAAGATTAGATCGTCTGCAAACTGTAGATGCGTCAAATTAAAAAGATTACCGACCTTACCAATACTGAAACCTTCGAAAAGGCCAAGAACAGCAACCTTACTCAACATTAGATTTAAGAGCTCACCAACAATGTTGAACAAATGAGGGGACAAACTACACCCTTGTCTCAACCCCTTACCCATATGAAATTCTGGTGTTGGAGATCCATTAACTAGAACCGAAATTGAAGCAGAAGAAATACAATAATCCATCCAAGATATCCATTTATCCCCAAAGCCCAATACCTTCAATAATCTCAAAATAATTGGCCATTCCACTAAATCATAGGCTCTCTGAAAAGCGACTTTAAAAACCACTCCTTTCCTGCCTTTTTTTCCGCCAATAATCAATAAATTCATTGGTCATAAAAGCACAATCCAACAACTGTCGACCTGGAATAAAAAGCGAACTGCGATGAACTGATCAAATCTTTAATCACTGAAACCAATCTTCTCGATAAGATTTTGGAGATGATTTTGTACAAGCTACCAACTAAACTTATAGGTCTGTAATCCTCAATGCCTTCAGGATTTAGTTTCTTAGGGATCAATGTAATAAAAGCATGATTGGCCCCATGCTCCCAACTCCTTCCTCTGTGAAAGTCATCCACAAACTTCAAAAGATGATCCTTCAAAATAGGCCAGAATTTCTTAAAAAACCCATCGTGAATCCGTCAGGACCCGGGGCTTTAGAACTGTCCGAATGAAACACTGCTTCCCAAACTTCCTGTTCTGAAAACTTCACCTCCAGACCACTCTTCTACTCCTCTGATAATTTTGCAAAATTAAGATTAATGTCCTCTACCTCTAACATAGATTGTGAACTGTAATTTTGCTTAAAATACTCAAATACATAGTTTTTCAGCCTATCCGGATCTGAAATCTCTTCATTAGCCACTTTCAAAGCCGAAATTGCCTTCATTCTGTTTCTCTTAGTAGCTGTTAAATGGAAATACCTCGTATTCCTATCCCCTTCCAAGTTCCACTTCAATCTTGATTTTTATAACCAAATGCTCTCTTCCTTCCTATGCAACTTCCACAGCTCGATTCTAGACAAAAACAGCAAATCACGTTCTTGGATGGAAATCCCTCCTCCTTGTAACTTCAGTTCCAGACCATTTATCTTGCTTTCTAACTGAGAAATATCTTCAGAAATCCCCTTGAGAGTCGCATATGGCCTATTTCTGATGTTTTGTTTCGTTCCTCGAAGTAAAGAAAATAAACCCCCTTGACCATTAGTAATCTTCACATTAGACATTGACTTTTCAACCAACTCCACAAACCCTTCTTCCTCTAGCAAGTAATTGAATAATCGAAAAGGTTTAGGTCCCCAATTGTTACATTCTTCTACTAACATTATGGGATTATGGTCTGAAAGGGATTTGGGAAGCATTTTCTGAACCACGTTAGGAAACTGATTTAGGAATGCACCTCCAAAGATAAACTTATCCAGCCTTACCCAAGTTGGAGACTCTATTATTGCACCAAGTATATCTTCCCCCAACTAACGGTAAATCCATAAGATTCAATTGTTGAACAAAGGATCTAAACAAATCCAAGGAATGCCAATTTTGTGCCATTCCACACTTCTCCTCTGTATCCAAATAAGCATTAAAATCCCCCCCTATGCAAACTAGCATACTCAAGTTCTGTACAAAACACAATAACTCCCTAAAGAATTCCTCTTTATCCTCCTCTACTGCTGGACCATAAACATTAATTAGAACACAATCAAAGTTGTATAACTTTAACTTCCCTATTATTGCTATGAATCTGCTCTGATTGAATACTGCAGTAACCTCAAAAAAATCCTCATTCCACAAACTTATCAACCCACCTGCCGAACCCTCAGCTGGAGTAATGACATGACCTTTCAATAAATTACCCCCTAACCTCCTTCAAAGCCCACTATTACAGACGCTCAGTTTTGATTCCTGTAGAAATAAGATGAACGACTTCTCTCTATTAACAAGTCTGTCCACTGCTCTGATTTTTTCTCTTCTCCCAAGACCTCTAATATTCCATGTTATCACTTTTAACTTTGACATTTAACTAAACAATCTAAACCCATAGCAGCCCGAAAAACCTTCATGATCTCCTTGAAGACCCCTTTATCTCCATCTTAAAAATCTCCTCCTCTAATAATCGTTGCCCCCCTTTAAATGTGATCCCCAGTAGTTCACAAACCTCCCTAGTAGCCGCTGCTTCATACCTTGCTTTAACTGAAGAATTGGACGACTGGGATACCTCCCTAACATGTTCCAATGAATCTCTGACCAAACTTCTCCAAACCCTTCTATACACTCTATCATAAAAGCTGATAGACACTTCAGTATCCGAACAAGCACTTCCTGAATTACGTGGAGCAATTCTCAACTTTCTTCGATTAACCATACTTTTAGGCCGAGGAATAGACAGTTCCTAATGTTCAGTATGAGGAAGATGAATCTCATTTGCTAAAATCTGATCAACCCTCACAGGATCTGCAATACAACCCTCTTGGTATTCCTTCTTTTTTTTTATAGGAATAGGAGGCCCCATTAAAAACCTCCCTCTTAGTTGGCTCTTGTGAAAGAGGCAACTAGCGGAAGGAGGAAAAGAGTACCTCATTTTATTAATAACCCATAATTACATAAGATACAACTTACATAATAAACTTCCCTAGATAAAATACATAACACTACAACAACAGAACACAACACCTCAACCAATCCCCTCTTTTGCTAACTTGTCTGCTTCCCAATTACAACTCATTTGATAGGTATTCCTTACTTCTAATCATTCCTCTCGAACTTGAGAAGCTTTCCTCAATGAGGTTGCACCGATTGTCCTCCCTGACCTTCTTCTTCTTCTTTGAACCTTCCGCTTGACTTACTGAAAATATGCTCCTTTCTCCATCATTATGAATCTGTAAATTATTAGTGGTATCCCCTTCCAGACTTTTCATGCCTCCTGACTTTTCTTTACTCATTGCAGCTCCCAGTGTGCTTGGACGAACTTCCTTCTCCCCTGTAAATTATCTTCTAGCACCCTAACCTCCCCCTCCTCATCAGCAAACTGATTTTCAAAAGTAGCATTGGGCTGTAAGATAAACTTATCCCCAACCCATTTTAAATTAAAAGCAGGCCCATTAGGAACCAATTTTGTAGACAACGCTACAGCAGCCTCATTGTCCTCAGAATGAACAGATTCAATTTTATCTCTCAGACCCAGGCCCAAGTGATTGTCATTCTGACTTGTCCTCATTCCCAAGAAACCTGACAGCCCACAATCAGAATTATCATTAGTTGACTTACTCGATTGGACTTGTCCCCCACTGACTTCATCCACTCCACTGTTCTGCCCATAGTTAAGCCAAGAAATAACTTTACGCCTAGCATCCTCTGTGAACTCTTCCCTATTTGCATCCAGAGTAGGACGACTACCATCTCCCTCGTCAGACAATACATAACCATTGTTTCTAATTTTTTAAAATTTCTCCATCTTCTTCCTTCCCGCTTCTACTTCTGGTTTATTCACAATAGACCCCAATAAGGTCTTGACCTTGAACGATCTCCCATATGAGCCTATCGAGACCATTTCGGGAACATCATAAGGACTTTCCACCCTGAGCAAAACTTTTGCCGACGATAGGTCCGAACTGCTCTCATGATCTTCGTTAAAATATAAAAACTGACCCCACTTCTCTGTAAGTTTACTTAAGAATGCTACATTCCAGCACTGTAGAGGCAAACCAAATAGCTCTACCTGGCAAAGGGCCGTCGGAACACCCTCCTTGTTCAAAACTGGAGCCAACCAGTCTAAGTACATGAACAGCTCTTCCTTTTTATTCGTCCATGCCTTAGAGAACTCTTCTACCGAATTGAAAGTAATGATGCAAGCATTCCAAACATAGCCCCATCTAACCACCTGAACTTTCATGCCCGCTAACTCCAAAGCTTCCTTCAACAAGTCATGGTCAAAGGAAGATTTCATAATCCCTGTTAGTGAACGTTTAACCCATTCTATTTTGGCTAATGGGATATGCATCTCCCAAACGTTCCTCACACTAGATGCGTTCTTCTTATTGACCTCCAGTATTGCCCCTGAAACAGGTTCACCTCTCTCCTTAAATTCAGAATTCACCACCTCCTTATAAGATCTGCCATCTCTGATGCTTCTCACCGACTCATCTATCCTCCCAGATCTTGAATTAGCCCTATCCCCCAACTTAGTCTCCAACTTCCTTTTCCCGTCCGCAGCTTCCCTCCTCTTCACCTTTTGATACTTAGCAATTCCTACTGAGACTCTTCTCCCATCGATCCACTTCCCATTCACGAACTGAATTGCCTTGTTTCTGCTTTCCTCACCAGCAAATTGGACAAAAGCAAAAGTAGAGGACTTATAATTTGGTTTTTCTAAAACACGGGGGATAAAAATCCTCAGAATCTGACCAAAAGGACTAAAATACTTCCTTAACACCCCTCTTGTCACACTCTTACAAAGATTATCAATGAACACGGTCCATTCCCCATCAAGATCTCTGAAATTTTTTGAGAAAACTCTCACACTCTCTCTACCTATCGCTCCCATCTTTTACGTCTGTACCTTGTCTTTTCAATGTTTTAACGTTGGAATGGTTTAATAGTACATCTTAAATCATTCAGGATTGTTGCACAGTTCACTTCGATTTTCTAACAAGAATAACCTTTATTCCTAGTATAAACAAAACCTGACAGAGTATTGGCTTTGTATATACAAACGTAGCATCCTTATAATTCGGTCTCTTGTTAACAATCGGAATGAATACCCTGGTGACCTTCCCGTGGTGTTTAAATTGTTCCCATAAAGCTCTCCTATGAACTCTCCTACTGAGATTATCAACGAATACAATCTCTAGTTACAAAGGAAGGGATTATAAACCGTTCCCATATATCAACTGCAACAAACCATTATGTTTTTTTTTGTCCAATCTCTAGTTACAAAGGAAGGGATTGTGAAAAAGCATCTCTCTCTCTATTTATAGTTTTTCTTAATAAGTTGAGAATTTTCAGGGGTACGACAAGTTTTACGAGGAGGAGTTGTCAAACTGTTCTTGCTGCACATCTCCTTTCCCTATCCAGGGTAATTGCTCCTATCCTGCCACATTTGGCAGAGGATGCATGGCAGAATCTTCCTTTTCAGTACACAATCAAAGATGGTTCTGTTGCTGGATTTGTTTTCGAATCAAAGTGGCCATCCGTTAATGAGATATGGCTCGCATTTCCAGCCGAAGAAATTGATTTCTGGGGAAAGGTCCTTGAGGTAACCAATCTTTCATCTTTATAACAGAGTGATGTGTGAGTTTTGTTCAAAGCAACGTCTGAATCATGAAATGAATTTCATTAATAAAGTTAATTCGAATAAAAAAGCTTATTATACCCCATTAATTTATTAATTCCATCGATAATTGTGATAAATTTTACTTTCACCGTGGTTTTCCAGGATTTTGCATTTTCTTTGCTGATTATTGCCCCTTTTGTTCCCGTGTCTCAAAAATGAGAATATCCTTAACAATGTAATTGATGGAGATTAATTATTATCGTTAGAGAAGATATATGTATGTGTTTGTATATATTTAGTTATTTTTTTAGATATACTAGTTGAAACTAAACTAAAGACTGGCAAAGGACTAATGTTTGTTTTGATGATACCAGCTGAGAACTGAGGTAAACAAGGTGCTGGAGGTTGCTCGTATGGGAAAGCTGATAGGATCCAGTCTGGAAGCAAAGGTTTATTTACATGCGTCTGATGCTGGCCTGGCGTCTAGATTACTCAAAATGTGTTCAGCTAACAATGATGCAGACGCCTTGCATCGCATATTCTTAACATCTCAGGTATTTTTAATTTCTTTTACATATACTCTTGAAACTGGCTGATCTGTTAAATTATTGACGTGTTGCCTATGTTCATAAGTAGGAAGTTACAGAGAACTAACGAGACGGAATAATTTTGTGAATAGAAATGTTTTTCTATTCTGATACAGTGTGTTAGGTCTCTAGAAATAGGCAGATTACAGCAGCAGTAGAGTCTTACTGTAAATAAAATCTTTAGAGTTTTTTGGTGTTAACTCTTGCAAGAGTTTTGGTGAAAATATCAGCTAGTTTTGGTGTTAACTCTCTCTCCCATACTTTTTAATAAATTCTCTGTTTCTCTCTCCCATACTCTTGCTCCTTGTGAAAATTAAATCATTACTAGATGCCATTTCAAGATATCTCAAGATTATGTTTATTGCTTCAAGATGCTCTTCTCTTGGGTCATTCATGTGTTGGCTGACAATGCCCTTTGAAAAAGCAATATCTTCTCCAGTGAGAGATAAATAGATTAGCTTTCCCACCAGCCTTTGGTAGTGTCCTTTGTCCACTGGTGCTCCCATTTTATTCTTAGCTTCAAGTTAGGATCCATGGGTGTCTTGAATGGTTTGCACCGAAGCATGCCAGTTTCAGCGAGCAATTCCAAGACATATTTCCTTCGAGAGATCACAATTCTAGCCTCTGTTCTTGCAACCTTCATGCCTAGAAAATATTTGAGATAGCCAATGTCCTTCCTTTCAAAATCAGTAGCAAGCAGATCTTTCAATTTACTGATTTCTCTAGGGTCATCACCTGTTATGATGATATCATCCACATAGACTATGGTCTTCATTTCTGGACACTTTCAAAATTATGGCGTTATCAGATTGGCACTGACTGTATCCATAATCATTGCTTTAGTAAATCTGTCAAACAATGCTTGAGGTGACTGTTTTAAACCATACAGTGACTTCTTCAACTTACATACCTTGTAGCCATTAGAGAAACTTTCCAAGCTTGGGGAATCTTCATGCAAACATCTTCTTTAAGGTTTCCATTTAAGAAAGCATTTTTTATTTTTAATTGATAAAGAGACCATTCTTCATTCACTGCCAGTGATAGTGGTAGTCAACTCCATATGATTGAGTGAATCCCTTCGCCACCAGCCTTGTTCTGAACCTTTCAACACCCCCATCAGCCTTGTATTCCACTGTGAAGATCCATTTGCAGCCTATTGTTTTCTTTCCTGGAGATAATTCTGTGAGGACCCATGTTTCATTGTTTTCTAGGGCCCTCAGTTCTTCAACAATTTTCTTCTATTTTGGGCTTTTCATTGCTTGTATTGTCTTGGGAATCTCAATACTGTCAAGTGACAGTAAATGCTTTAAAAGACGGCAGTAATTTCCAACCTCTCAATACTATGACTGATGCACTTTCTAACTCCTTTTTTTGAGCAATAGGTAGTTCTGAGTTATCATTAAAAGGCACAAGAGTTTCATTGTTTGAAGGTTTCATACCTGTGTCAATTTCTGAGGTAGAAGGAACCAATTCAGGTTCTGACATGTTCTGAGTTGTGTTTTGGAAGGAGTTCTAACTTGAGAAGGCAATTTTGCTGTTTTTCGTGGAGAGGATGGATCACTTTGGGTAATTTCAGGTTCTTTGAGATGGGAAAGTATGTCTATGGACTGGATGTGTTAGAGACTATCCCAAAGATGGAATTAATCTGAATTCTTCCCCTGAAATTCAGATTTGAGAAATAAGGCTGATTTTCAAAGAAAGTGACATCCATCAAATTGTACATTTTCTGAGTAAGAGGAGAGTAACATTTGTAGCCCTTTTTATTAGAGGAATATCCTAGGAGAACACTTCTATTGAATCTCGGATGAAGTTTGCTTCTAAATTGGTTGTGAAAATTGGATGCTAAACCATGTAATACTCCAATGATTCTCAATTTACAATTAACCAAAGAAGGTGAATTATTTGCAGATTCTTAGAGGTACAAAAGACTTATTGAAAAGTTAAATTACCTTATTTAACACGTTGCGATATTGTTTATTCGGCAAGTGTGTTGAGTCAGTAAATGTCATCACCAAAGGTTGATCATTGAAAGGCAGTAGAACAAGTTCTGCATTAGTTGAAAAGTGATTCTGGATGTCGAATTTTATATGATAATCATGGTTATACTTGGGTCGAATGTTTTTCAGATCCGGATTGGATAAGATGTGAGGAAGACGGGAGATCTACATCAGGATATTGTGTTTTTGTTAGAAAAAAACTTGAATTTATGTAAACGTGAGAATAGAATGCGATCTTACAATCAAGTGCGGAAGCTGAATACAGAGTTATGACAAGTTTGTGTGTGAAGTCTAATTTTTTTTATATTCTACACTAAGAAAATTCCTTAAAAAAAAAAGAAACTAAGAAAATCGAGAAAAGAATACTAAATTATTTCGTCTGTGATTCAGCAAGCCCAAAGTTTCTAAAAACTTAGGAAAACAATTGTTATTATTTTCCGTGTTTTACACGACTTGTTGGCTATATAGCGAAGAAACATATAGTTTTAAACAAAGTTAAACTCATAAGGGTAAAGACAAATTAATTGAATTACGATAGGCTTTACAAATAAAGATGGGATACTTCATTTTAAACTAAGAGACTCCCAAGTTCTAACTCCTAACCATATTAGTTAGAGGTGTTAACGGCTTGAGTTAGCTCGGACTGTAAGTTGGAATTTTTTTTTTTGAAAATCTTTTATCCAAGCCCATTTAGGTCGAGCCGGGTCAAATTAAAATCTCCTTTGTCAATGTTTGGCTTGAGCCGAACTAGTAGGCTGACCCGTGGATAAGTCTCGTTGAAAGCAAATATATCTCTTCCTGCATGCCGAGAACAATTATATAATTCACACGTCCTTTTATTTGAATGGAAATATTGCAGGTAGAGGTAGTTTCATCTTTAGACCATGAATTTGTTCAAAATATTTCACATACCGGAGAGTATGTTGTTGAGAACAACAAGGTTTGGATTGGAGTATCAAGGGCGGATGGTTCCAAGTGTGAACGATGTTGGAATTACTCTCCTCAAGTTGGATCTTTTCCAGAACACCCTACCCTTTGTGCCCGCTGTTTTAAAGTTGTGGGTATTCAATCAACTCCGGCAATGGCGGAAGCTGTCGCTGAGACCTAAACTCATCAAATCCAGCTGAAAATCGAGTTAATCGGGAAGTTGGCCAATCTTCAGTTCGAGCTTCATAATGTAGCCAATGTCGGCTAAACTTACCTATTCTTTGCAGAAGAATGCAAGTCTCAGATTGTCTGCTTACATGTGACATTCTTCTCGGAGCAAACTTTGCATACTGAATACAAAACAGGTTACTGTATTGAACTTAAATAAATAAATCTGGGTGGAGTCGGATTTTGAGTAGTTTTCTTGAATAGGGTCCAATTTGAGTGATTATCACAACATAGGTCCTCGTTTTATACATTTATGTTGTGTTCAATAACTCAACAATATACGAACGCAAAATTTTATGACGAACATATAAAAGTTTAAGGGGGTGAAAACAGATTTTTAATGAAAAATACATAAAAAAAATTTAAACTATATGATAATTTTAGATTTTTGAAGGACGATTTCACTCGTTCTCCCTCGGTACATCCTGTCCATGCCCATCACCACAGGATGGTGATGCAAAGACGATTCGAATATTCCTCTTGTTATAGCAGATGCTGCAAAATAGCATGCTCCAACAAGGTCGGTGTTGCACATAGTTGCTATATACATGATATGGTGTTGAACAAACTTACTTGCTATATACTCGACTTGAAAAACTTGAATGGTTTGACTTGTCTCAAAAAATCAAATTTTTACTTGATATTAAAGGACTTGACTTGAATTGACTCAACTCGCAATTTTACAAATTCGAGTTGAGTTAAAAAATAAAACTCGAATAACTCGAAATTTTAATAATTAGTGGTTTTATTTTCAGGTTCGAGTTGATTCTCTCAACTTTTTATTATATTTGTATATCGCATATAGAAAAACATGAAGAAATATATATGTATATCATATATAGTTATATAAAATTATTTAAATTAGAATTAGATATTACCATAACATTATATTTATTTATAATTAAATTTAAATAGAAATTTGAACAACTTGACTCAAATTTTATAAACTTGACTCGAAAAAATTTCAAATAAAATTTGAGTTACAAGATAAGACTCGTCAACTCGAATGACTTGAAATCTTTTGACTCGATTCGACTCGATCGAATACTCACCTTAAGTCTTTACTAAGAAAATGTAAAGAATTTTATTAGAATACCAGGTAATATTTTTGTTTGTGTACCTTATTATATACAGGATACGTGATAAGGTGTTGTACATACTTGTCCAGTATTAAGTTAAAATGATTATGGGATTATCGGATAATTTCTAACATTCGAAATTAATACACAACTTCAATAGTTAATTAGTTAGGAATTAACTAATCAAAGATACAAGTGAACAATTGGTTTTGAACGGTTTGTTGATGAAAGGCTAAAGAGTTAATTTCAGCACACGTTCTCAAGTATGACTCTCATTTTAAATTAGTTCTTAAACTTTTAATTTAATTTTATCCCTAAACTATGATTATCATTCTAAATTAGTCTCTAAAATTTTGAACATTTCAATTTCATCCCTAAACTATGACTGCATTCTAAATTGGTCCCCAAAATTTTTGAACATTCTAATTTCATCCCAAACTCTATGTATATACTAATCGCATCCCTTGTTAATAGAACAGTTAGGTCAAGTTATATTTTTATATGTTTCAAATAAACAAAAATTAGGTTAAACAATGGTTGAAACTAATGACATATTTGGATGAATTTGGGAATGGAATTGGAATATTTAAAAGTTTGGGGACCAATTTAGAAAGAGGGTCATAGTTTAGGGATGAAATTAAAATTTTCAAAAGTTTAAAGACCAATTGAAAATGAGAAATATAGTTTGGGGACATATGATGCTATTAACTCTAAATTTTAATATATTTGACATACGGATTATGTAAAATTTAATTTATACAAACTAGAAATCTCATTAGTTCTCAATTGATCCACTCGGTCCAGTTCGACTGCAAAAATGGCTCTGAAATATTTCACCAAGGACCAATACTTATTAGATATGAAAACTAATCGTGCTGTTTCCTTTCTTCTTGTATACACCGGAAAATGCGAGCTGCGGATTCAGTTGCCGATGCGTGGCTATGGGGTATAACCTTAATCACCTGTGTTCGTTGTTCATGAGTTTGAGCATCATGATTAGATGAAGGCATTACAGGTTCGGTAGGGAAAAGAGGAAGTGCATCCACTTTTACCCTCTCACAGCGACTACTTGTCTCGTTCGATGCAGGCGGTTTTTTAGCACGATATGAGATCACTTCACTCAGTTGGCTCAACATGTTGCATGAACTATGTTGAGCTATGGTGAAGTTGGCCTTAGACTGGACTTTAGTGACCTGACTCATATGCTCAAGTTGGCCATGATGTGGGAGGTCGCTCCGACATATCGGAGGGTCGGTTCGAAGTATTCCGATTTCGTGTTGTTGAGAAGCTGCAACGCTGTTAGCCATGTTAGGGAAGTCCAAGCTGCCCACGGCTAAATTAAGTGGACCAGAGCTTCCATAAACTGGTGTAAATAAACCTGCAGCTGGGGGACTAGGGCCTGTGAAGGGCTTGTAAACAAGTCCTTCCAAAGGAGACATTATGGGAACTAACCACTGACTCCCGAGTGGCGAGACACACCAAGGAGGTGGCCCAGAATTGGAAGCCATTGGTGTTGACGAAGCATTTCCCGAATAAGGACCATATTTAGGTCGTTTTATATTAAGTCCTTTGCCGGTATCATCATTAGCAGAAGAACAAGGCAGCTCTGCAAATGCATTCTCACCTGCATATTTCATGCTAATATCGGGTTTTCGGGAATTACTTTTTACTTTAACAATCAATGGCGGTTGAGGAACATCTAAAGATGGTTTGTCCATATAAAAGGTATCTCCGAACAACATATGTGGTGAACTAGCAATCAACCTCTGAACCTGTTCCAAAATCAATGCAATTTAAATTTCCTTTCTTTTGGTTCGATCCAAGAAACAAGAAAATTGATTAAGGTAATTTAGTTTTCGTATAGCACCGACCAGTAAGAAACCTAGAAATGAGATCACATACATAGTTTGCTGTAATGCCTAGCAAGTCAATAGCACAGTTACATGTTTACCATTATTAGTCTATGCAACTCGAAGACTTGCCCGGAAAATACTCTTTGTTGGCTGAAAATTACGAAATAACGTTAGTATCTCGTAAGAAGGAAGTTAATGACTAATGTTAATGCATTTGGGAAGAGTTTGAATGTCGTTCATATGATGAGATATTTGTATAAAAAACAGGACTGCAAAACAGATTTCATTACACCTTTCAATGTACATTAGTTGTAAGATATGTACATGGAAACAACAGAAAAGGATACTTACTTGGCAATAGCTCTTCTTACCCTACAGAAATGATTCTCGCCGATTATCCCAACAACATCATCGGGACATATATCGAAAGCAGATGTGTAATCCGCCACGGATGCACCTGGCACATTTTATGTCTGTTAATACCCTCAAGCTGTATACCACTTGTCTTTTTCTCATGCATCGTACTTCCATTATCGAGTCCATGTGATTGTCTTGAGCATATCACAATTTTCACCATGGAAGCGTTTTCTAGACATCTGTCAGATTCCATTAAGATATTATCCTTCAGATGCAACCTTGCATTTGGAACATCACCATTCAACATATCAACTGTGATACTTTCATTTTCTTGATTCAACAATGAATACGGTGCTTTTAAAGTTCCTGAGTTCTTGATGTTGATTGACGGGTCCGTTGACATGCCAGCCAAGTTTTCATCTATGGTTGACACAATTGAATTAGGCCTTTCCGTAAGATCTTCACTGCTTTCACATAATCTTCCATTTTCCTTCATCTGCTTTTCATTAGAAGTTTGAAGCTGCTTTGAAGAGTACAAGTTCAATTTCGAAAAACTTTCCCCACCTTCACTTTGTTTACTGCAACCACGATTTCGATCTATTCCGGACAGAAAAGAGGTCGGAACCATAAGGTCATCATGTCCTAGTGACCGTAAAGAAAATTTCTTGAAGTTAGAGAAATGGAGTGGCTCCAATGGCTCCAAACTACAGTACTCGGTAGTTTTCGCAGATATTTTATCTGGACTTCCTTTCATGTTGTTTAGTTCAGTCCCAGGAGTAGAACAAGAACAAAACTTCTCATCAGGCAAAACTGAAGATTCATGGGAGTTTGCTAGTGGCAACAACATGTTCAGTTCCTTACCACCATTCTACAAATATGAGCAATTTTATACATGAATGCAATGCAAAAGAATAAGGCTTAATGAAACATTTGATCAAATCTAGCTCTGTTACTCGCACCCTTTGTAAGTGTGGGATACGAATATGTGTCCGGCATGTGTATGTTCCATTTGATCATAAAGGACTTCGAAGTTCAAAGGGCTAAAACGGTTAACTATGTTGCTCCGACTCTACATTTTTCTTTAAGTACTCGTATCCGTGGCTGACACATACTAAGATATGTGTATGAAGACATGACTATCCAAAGACCTTAACTACATTGAAAAACTTAAAATAAAGTTAACCATATCCGTATCAAACTGTAACACCTAAGTCTGAATAACATAGATGGTTAAACAGATATATTGAAGGAGACAACTGCATCATATGAGTTTAGGAAATCATTAAAAACAGTTAACAAACTTACATAGCTTGAAGGCATTGAAGGAACCAAGATGTTGCTGTTATTTGGTGGAAGAGGCAACATGGATTGTGATCCTGAATTGAACCTTTCGGAAGGGATAATGAGGTGTTCATAGAGGGCCATTTTATTCCTTGGAGGTGCCTTTGGCCCTCCTTTCTCAGTATCATTCACATGAAGCCTAGGAAACATAGTGTTCATCACATTTGATTCATATTTTCCTCTTTTCATCATCATTTGAAGTCATTTTTCACAACAAAATCCAACTCAAAAACTGCTTCTTCCACCACCAAAACATTCCCTTTTGCAACATTTTGATTTGTAGATAAAAAACTTTGATCCCAAGCTGGCTATTGAAGAACTTCTCACCCACAATTAACCTATTTGCAAACAAATACATTAAAAAAACCGGAAATATCAACAGATCTTTTGACTGAAAAATCATAAACAACAAACAAGAACTCATGAAAATCTGCTTTAACATATACAAGGTTTTTGCTAATATTCAGAACCAGAACACCTCCTTGCACTCAAAAATAAAACTTTTGCTCCAAAAAAACAATTATCTAGCAGTTATGACAAATTAAACTACTAATGCACTAACTAAGCGACCTCAATGGTTAAAGAGATGATTTTTACCCCTAAAGGTCTAGGTTCAAGCATGACACCTATATGAGTGTTTGAGCGTTCATTCGTCAAATGATTGAAAGTATTTCGAACAAAGTAACCTTGTAATCACCCCCACATTAATAAATAAAATAAACTGTTAATGATAAATACACAAATTAGACCACTATCTCAGCTTTTTAACAACCCTGAATTTAAAAACAAAAAAATGAGCTCATATTTAAACAAATTAGACCCCATTTTCTCCTGACTCATTTTGTCCATGACCAACAACAGCAAAGATCATGTCATATCATATACGACTCACTTTCTTATCTATGTCGTTACTGACATTCACTGCTTTATTAGGTATAAAAAAAAAAAAAAAATCTAAGGAATTTGCAGGGAAGAATAATAGGAAAGAAAATTACTTTAATTTGAAGAACCAAAGTAACTGAGTGTAAGCAAGATCATGCCTTTTTTTCAAGAACCCACTTTTTAATCCATCATGTGGCTGCCATTAACGGCTTCACTGGGTATAGAACAAGAAACATGTAAGGAACTTGCAGGGGATACAGATGATTTACATAAATTGAAGAACCAAAGTGAGATGGTGTGGCATTGATGGCCAAATGTGATTTCTTTATTCAAAATTTTGAGCCAATCTTTAACTAAAAATCCGCGGAAAAAAAATAAAAATTCAATCTTTTTGTTTCGAGCAAAATGTTTTAGTTTGTTTTCCATAATTTTTGCAAGAAAAAATGGTGGTCATGTGGTTGATACTGTTTAGAGCATTGGGTGATCATTGCATAGATATTAAACTCAAATCTCGGCTGGGGAAATAAAGATTTTCTCTTTAGCTTGGTTGTGCGCGTAAGTAGATATTTTAATCACACGTGATTAATTCACGGTTCTTTCAGTGTAGAAGAATAAATAATTTTATTTTGAAAAATAATACTTAAGTTTTCTAAAAGGTAAAGTATATAGAATCATTCCCGACCTGGAAATGTTAAAGTATTCTGATAATTAAAAGTTATAAAATGATAATTTGATTATTATATATCTTAAATTTATTTATTTCTGTTAAAAATTTGACAATCGACTGAGTTATATGTTAACATGTTGATTAAAATATGATAAAATTATATTTTAATGATATCTACTCACATTGCAGTTGCTTTTAAGCATCAACTCAACGACATAATATTTCAAGTATTGACTTGATGGCATAATGTAAACGGAGAGTCAACCCACAAAGTATAACTCAAACAATTATGAGGTCATATTTTATTATATTTTAGTTAACATGTTAACGTCCATCTCAAACGACCTTTAATTTTTTAACAAAAATTTAGAATATATGAATAGTCGGTGATCATTTTGTAACTTTTAATAGTCGAGGAAGTCAACAAAATAACGTCCTATAGTCGGGGACCATTTTGTAAGGGTGTAAATGAATCGAATTTGAATGAACAAGGTTATGTTTGCGTCCATTTGTTTATTTTCATGTTCGATTTATGTTCGTTTAAATTGTTAGTATCTTGTTCGTTTATTTATTTTTAAAGGAGTTCGTCTTCGTTTATTTATTATTTGTATACATGTTCATTTACTATTCACGAACGTGATTGTTTACTGTTCACAAATGTGTTACCAAACCCAGGATTCGATTCGAGGCTTGAATGCTTTATTTAATCGTGGGCTCACGCTCTGATGCAGCTCGTGTTCAGTCCGAGTAGAGGGAGCTCTGTTTCCACTCGAAAGCCTACAAGGAATGCTCAAGCGAATGCGTTAGCTCAAGTTCTAAGCATGCATTGGATTTCATGGCTAAGAGTTGGTGGGTGTTCTTTGTACTGTTCAAGAAAGAGTGTCTATAGAATAAACATCCATTCTAGGGTTTTTCTTCGTTCAGAGATCAACATTCTTCTACAGTTGGAAATACATTCTTGCCGGTGCTTCTTTCTGTTTTCCAGTAGCAAAGCTAGATTTTTTTTAATTAAGCGAGTTTCATGAAAGATCAATCTTAAGAGAAAAAAAGAGAGTGAAATACAAATGTTTTGGTACTGATTTAACCGTGAAATCGGTACACCCCCTAAGGTTCATTTCAAAGTCTAAAGCGGTGTCGTGTTAGGCATCAAAACAGCCGCACCATAACTGCGGGTCATCATTAGCAATATCATAATCCCGGCGGAATGGTATAATCGAATGTAAAACTAAAATTCAGGGCTATAATTGATAAAATTGAAAACTTAGTATTATAAACGAGTCAACGGGTAAAACTCAGTGGTATCTAAAGTAGTTTTGCCAATCTTATATCATGGTTCATAAGGATAACATTGTTTTAGCAATTGAATTACACTCTAGGCTGGTCCTAATTATCATTGTCGAACGGTACAGCGTATTTTCTTCTATAGATGTTTATATTTGTAACATCATTTGACAAAATAACTAGTGTGGTTCTGCAGGGTTCGAAGCTTGCCAGATTGCCAGAACCGGATAGTGTGATAGAAGTCCTGTTAATCAATTGTTTGTATCCTCTCTTTTGCTGAACCTCTCAATTTATTGCCTTTAAGGATGTCAATATTTGGCTCATTTGATCATCTTATTTGCAGCTCCTCAAGGTGCAATATATGGTTGTGGCGACTTGATCTTTTCATCACACATGATCTTCACCCTGGTCTTCGTCATCACCTACCAAAAATACGGCACACGACGGTAAAACATGTTTGTTTCGTTTCTTTAATGTACTTGCTTTACTTTTAGCTCAAGGAAGTATAAATATTGATTGGTTTGTGATGATATCATTTGCACAACTGCAGTTTGGTTGGTTGGTAGCTATAATTCAGAGTTTCTTCATTGTAGCGTCCCGGAAACATTACACGGTTGACGTAGTCGTCGCATGGTATGGAGTATTCTTCTGAAGTTTCCATTTATTACCAAAACGTTACTGTATTTTCTTTTATGTTGACAGATCTTTTCTGCAGGTATACTGTTAATTTAGTGGTGTTCTTCATAGACAAGAAATTGCCAGGTTAGAATGTTTTGGTCGCATCGTAGATTAGTCTAACGATCGTCGTTGGTTCTAACACCGAGATTTTCAACAGAACTGCCCGAAAGAAGTAACGGAAGTTCGCCTCTTTCGCTACCATTGAGCACCAGAGATAAGGATAACCGGAGCAGAAGATGCCAATGCAAACCAGGTAGACACTGCAATGAATAGTTCGTAGATCGATTGAAAGCCGATGCTATCGCCATAGTGGGGCCGATTGTAACCTTATGATGTTGGATTAAGGAGGCTTTAGGTTCTTCCAGGAATGGTAAAAATTTCATTTGTAAATCTTAAGAAAACAGAGCTTGACATTGTCTTGGTTTACCATCATCAGCCATCATCAGCATCCACATGTATATGCTGTTGTTCCCCTTCTCATGTTTATAGTTTGATTCATTTATTGTAGCTGTTGACATACCAGTTCTTTATTCTTTCTGGTTTTATGATGAAATTTGGGATTTATCACTCCTTAATTTGACACATTCTGAATGTATTAGTAGGTCCAAATTAAAAAGCTGTAGATTGAAAAAAATAAGGTAAAGTATACTAATGGTCCCTCGATTATTGGTGTTGCTTTGTTGAGTCCATTGATTATTAAAAGTTACAAAATGACCCCAATTATAGGGTGCTGTTTTGTTAAGTCTTTCAACTATTAAAAGTTATAAAATAGTCACTCGATTAATAATATGTTCCAAACTCATTCTTTTTCGTTAAGAAATTGACGGTTGTATTGATTGAAATATGATAAAATGTGATCACATAATCATTTTAGCTGTATTTTGTAAACCGAATCTTTGTTTACATTAAGTCGTCGAGCCAGTGTTTGAAACATTATGTTTGTGAGTTAGTGCTTGAAAGCAACATCAGTGCCAATTCAGACATCATTAAAATATGATTTTATCAATTTTCAATTGGCAGATTAATGTCCAATTCAGACATGCATCAAATTTTTAATGAAAAATGATGAATTTGGAATATATGAATAATTGGTTGACCATTTTGTGAGTTTTAATAGTATGAGACTCAACAAAATTGTATCTTATAATCGAGGATTATTTTGTAACTTTTAATAATCACATGACTCAACAAAGCAACTCATTATAATCGGAAACCATTTATATATTTTACCTAGAAAAATAATATAAAGAGAAATAAAATAAAATAGGTGATTCTAGTCATTAATAGCATGCATGAACGACATGATAAGAAATGTTCATATAATAACTTTTTAGAAATAATGAGTGCAAATTTAAAAGGGAAAAAGAAACATGTAAGTCAATCATTGTTTGGGTAGAATAAAGTAGATGAAAAACCTACAACATCCTAATAAATTACATCATATATCATTAAATTTTTTTATCATTATTACAATCAATCGTTATTGTTATCTGTCATTATTTATAACAATTGTTAATGTTTAACATTAAACGTTTATACTTCCAGCATTCATGATATTCAAACTTAAATTTCAAAATTAAAAAATAATTCTTTATCAATGTCACTTAATTCGTGCAATACCATTTAAATAAAGTTAAATTAACTTTTTCAATTTCGAATCACCTAAGAAGAATATAAAACTTAAACCAGTCACTGTTTTTCCATAAAATGGGTTGAGTCGAATTCATGGGTTCAGATCTGGTGCAGCTCATTAGAATGGATACTCGAAAGGCCCAAATCTCGATTGTCCAACAAAAACCATACTATAAATTCCTCTTTTCCTATGTAGTTTGGCTAGGGTTTTCTTCTTTTACAGACAAAGCGGCAGCAGAGGATTCTTCTTTGATTCACAATGGTGAAAGGTCGCCAGGGAGAGCGCATCAGGTCATAATCACTTGATTCCCATGCTTAATTTTCAATGATTTGGATAGACCACTTTGCTCATTTCCCCGTTTGATTATCTGTTTTTAGGCTCTACGTTCGCGGGACCATTTTGGGCTACAAGAGGTGACTAAAATTTACCCCTTTGATCTTTCGAGCTGGTTATTTAGTCTATGAATTGGTTCTCAAAAATGTGTTTTTGATTTTGTTACAGATCGAAGTCGAACCAGTATCCAAATACGTCACTGATTCAGATCGAAGGAGTGAACACTAAGGAGGAAGTGGATGGTACCGTGGGAAGCGAATGGCTTACATTTACAAAGCCAAAGTGAAGAAAAATGGGTCTCATTATCGTTGCATTTGGGGTAAAGTATCTAGGCCTCATGGTAATAGTGGCGTTGTTCGTGCTAAGTTCAAGTCTAATCTCCCTCCCAGATCCATGGTAATCAAACGAGCTGTGATCAGCTAAGTACTTATTAGATTTTCTTTGTGTTGGTTTTGTTTGCATTGATTTTGTTGTTGATTTTGTTTCCCTTTTGGTTGATCAGGGTGACAAAGTTAGAGTTTTTATGTATCCCAGCAACATTTGAGGTAATTTAAAGCTAGTGTTTTACTTTCCTGAGCATTTATAAGATTTAATTGCATTTTCCATATGCTGTGTAGCTGAAAATTCATTCTACTATGTTGGTATTGTGGTCAAGTATTGGCCATTGCTTCCTGTATGCAGATGATTGAATAAATTTTGAAATTTATCTTGGTTTTATTTATGAGTAATGCAGTGATGGTGTGACTTTTGGACTGGTTAGGGAAATTTGTTTGTTTAAATACAGTACTTTGTAGTTTGTAATATATGCATTATCTCCCTATTGGCATACCTTGTTTCTTAAGTTAGCTCATTGTGTGGCATGTGAATTATCGATAATTATTAACCATCTCATTAGCCGAATTCTAATCATTTCCCTGTTGGCATCCCTTGTTTCTCTAGCTTTTTGTGATTTCTTATTAGCTCCCATATTGATTTTTGGGGTTACGAGTATCATATTAAGATCCCCAACTCTGGAAAGATTTGAAAGAAGAAACTCAAAAGTGGTGAAAATTAGCAATGAATCCTAATGAAATGGATAGTTTACACTCTGAACTCTCTTGACAGATTAGTTTAATAACCTTTATACTTTCATGGATTTGTAACTTTGAATATCTTGTCTACGGGGGGATAAATATGTTTGGCATTTTATGGTATATGAACTTCCATTTATCCATCTATTTAATCACATATGTTGTCTTGCAGTGGGACGTTGTACGTGCTAGATAGGCATTGCAAGTGGATAGGATGAGTTGGGACTGAATTGCTGTTTAGAGTTAAATTTTATATCTGTGGTGTTCTTATGATTATCAATATTATTAAGTTCTAAATGTGGATTTTGGATCTTAAAAACATGAATGGCAATCCATTTTGAACTATTGCTACGGAGAATAGTGTTTAAATCATTATACCCTTCACTTGCTTCAACACTTTCGCAGCCTATATACATTTGTTTTCCTGTCATTTTCAGTTGTCTCCTTAATACATGGAGCTATGAGAATGAATTGTTCATCGAGCATTGAAATGCATCCGACAAAGTAGTCCTTGAAATAGTTTGCAGGCTCTTTAACACCCATGTTGAGCTTCAAATTCTTGGACGTGAATAACCTTTATTCACAAATTGTATAACACACTGTTACGTTATCAAAGTCTAGGTTAACATGATTCATGGATGAGATTGTTCAGTATATCTGCCGGTTATGATTCTAATTTTTTGAGCTCAGAAGATTACGTTGACACACTATTACAGGTTTAAGCCGCAGACATATCATTATAAAGTGATAAGTATCATAAAAGGTTTAACCCGTATTAAAATAATTTAATATAGTTAAAATTAATTAAAAGTTAATAATTAAATAAAACTTTTTCTCTCATAAATTAAATTTTTGTAACATTTTAATATGATCATAAGTTAATATTGTATTTAATTTTAAATTTGGATAAACTTATGTAAATTTATAGATAAAAGTTACTCGAATTATATCACTTTTGAATATAACATTATTTTTCTCATTTACACAGCTAGTTGAATTTTAATTTCAAGTCCTTTTACTTAGTGAATCACCATTATTACTACATTACTTCTTTATAATTGCCCAAACTACCAGCATTTTATAACATGACAGAAATAATCAACATGTAAGATTCTCACACATTTCACTATGTAGAAGAATGGTTTTTCATTCATATTATACTTCTAAAGATGTTTTTTACCCCTCTGGATGAGAGTATTCAAGCGTTGTATATAGAATACGTAGCCCTGCCCAGTTTTACATTCATTCTATAAAGAGTGAAAAGAATATGCATATGCGTCCTGCATTTACATGTAGATTTTCAAGTTTTACACAAAATGCACCACATAAATTGTAGTCTAGTGTTGATCTTCTTATACGTGCAGTTCACTAATATAGCGATATGATATTCACCGAAAGGCGAAAACCAACTGGATTAAACATATCAATGCAATCAACTTCAGCCACAAGAAGTCAGACTCAGAGTGAAACACATAGTAGTGTAGTACCATATAAATTGCAATATGATTCCCATTGTGGTCTTTCTTTAACTAACAGGACTCGGGTATAAAATTAAGACAAAATTAGCTACATTAACACACAGAAAGATGCAGGCAGTTCGGGTTTAAACCTCTTTGCGAAACATCATACTTACGAAGACAATAATAGTAATTCTCAAAATCACAAGCAAACTGAAAAAATATTCAAATTATTCATGTCTTAATCTAACAATTCAGTAGCCAAACTGATAATCCTAATTACTCAAACCCCAAAAGAACTTTCAACTCAAATTGATATTATTTAACAAAAGGCTCTCTTATTTTTTTTCAATATTAGATAAAGTTGAGAAGGGTAAAGCCCTTTCAAATTCCATTATTTTTCGATCTTTTCACATTATGAGCAACGACAACTCTACAAGCTTTAGCGTTTTCAACAGAGAAACCAATCTTATACACTTAAATCTAGAGTTTATCCTTCACCGCCGTGTAATCTCGAAAACAAGGGAAAGGAAAAAAGAGAAAAAGGAACCAGGATGCTAAAATCGCCACCGAGGGACATTGTGTGATTCC